GCCGGCAAGCTGGGAGTGCTGGAAAAGGGTCCAAATCCCACAGCAACACCTGACTGTGGCCCACGTGGGGTGACAAGGGCGCTGCCAGAGCCGCTGTGTGCTGGGTGCAGTTGTTTCTAAATTTGGCTGTGTTTGGGCAGGTAGGGATGGCCTGACACATGGGATTTGGTTTTCCATAATCTGGCTGGGAAGCACCAGCCCTGATAAATCTGCTGCTCAGCGCCAAGGCACTTCCATGGTTGCCATGGTTACCACATGCTTATTTTCACCATCTTCCTCACCTCAGCCGGGGTGCACCGGCATTCCCAGCCCCGAATCCCCCCTCACCTCGGCTGGGGTGCACCGGCATTCCCAGCCCCGAATCCCCCCTCACCTCGGCTGGGGTGCACCGGCATTCCCAGCCCCGAATCCCTCCTCACCTCGGCTCATTTCCTAATGCTCTGGTTTGGGTATCCCAACGCTGCTGTGCATCCCAGCTCTTTGCTGTGCCCCCGATCCCCCTGCTCCCTGTGCCTCCAATCCCCCTGCTCTCGGTGGATCCAATCCCCCCATGACTGCAGATCCAATTCCCCCCCTCCCTGTGGATTCAATCCCCCCACTCACTATGGATCTGATTCCTGTGGATCCAGTCCCCCATTCCCTGTGGCTTTGTCCTACAACTGGGTAAATCCCAGTCACAGTAACTGGTGGAGGGAAGCGCAGCAGCCCCGGCTCCTCGCCATGGCAACGGCAGGATTGCGTCAGGGCTTTTCTTTCCAACTGCAAAGCTGGATGAGCAACTCCCTCAGGGACAGGAGTAAGGGAGAAGGGAATATTCTTTTTCCCGGGGGCTTTGGGACTGCCAGTTCCCAAATTCAGCCCCGGCTCAGTGTTTTGCTCCTTGCTCCTGGGTCCAGGGCTGCGACGGGACAGTGCGTGGTCACACGGGGCTGAGACGCCGGGGACAGGGAGGGTTCCCGAGCCAGGGACAGTGAGAATTCCCGTGCTGGGGACAGGGAGGGCTCCTGTGCCAGAAAGGCTCCGTGTGCCTTCCCCACACCGTGGCATCTCAGCTTGTGGCACAGGCTGAGCTTGCAGGGAGCCGGGGAAGGAGCCGGAGGTTTGGTGATGGATGGCTGCTTCAGTCCAGCCTCGCATTCCCTCTTTCCCTGCAGCCCCAGCAAAAACAAAGGGAGAGAAGGCGGCTCTTCTGCTGTTCAGGATGTGCTGGGCCTCGCTGGACCATGCTGGGCTCTGCTGTGCCCCAGTGCAGGAGGGTGGTCCTGGGGCTCCCCAAGGCCCAGGGGGAAGAACGCGGTGCCAGAGCCTGGAGCAGGCGTGGGCTCGTGGATGGTTTGTTCCCTCCCAGCCCTGGGCAAGGCACAGCCCCAGAGCAGAGACACCCAGCGCTGTCCCTGGCGCTTGGGCACCCTCTGCCCCATCCTCCCTCCCAGCGCTCCCCTCCCGGGAGGAGCTGCTCTGGGATTTGGGAACCTCATCAGAGTGGTGCCCGGGGCGGGGGCTGCCCTTGGCTCCTGAGCAGGTGCCAGGGCTGCCGAGCAGGTTTGGGCTCCTGCACAGCTCTGGGCAGTTCCGTGTGCCCTGGAAACAGGCCAGGAGTGCAAAGACTGGGAAAGGTCCCTACAAACACCACAGCAAGTGCTGCTCAGTGAGGACCCTCAGAGAAAACACCCACAGGTGAGGCTCTGGAGCTTACACAGGGATTGGGGCAGGATTGGTGCAGTGACCTCTGTGTTCTGCCTCTGGGGCGTCGTGTGTTCAGGACCCCCCAGCAGGGCCCTGCTACTGCAGGAGGTTTGATCTAAGGACATGAATCCTGTGTTGTTTCATTGCTTAATTAACTGCCCTAATGACTTGTGCAGGTGAGCTGCTTGCCATCCTGATCCCAGCACCACTTCCACCTGGAGCCCGTGGGATGTGCAGAGATGTCCCTGAGCCCCTCGGGCAGGTGACACAGGGCTGCTGCAGCCCCTGTGTGCAGCCTGCTCATGGAATACCCTGCACTGGAAGAGACCCACGAGGATCATCGAGGCCACGGCTGACGTGACACACACCGTGTCTGATGCCCTGGGTCAGGAACGAGCAGATCTGGAGCACGGAAAGCTCCTGGGAGCTGCGGAATTGGGGCAGGAGCGTGGTTTCCTCGGTCCAGCTCTCGTCTTTTCACTGGGTAACTCTGTCAGTGCCAAAGCAAAGGCATCAACACACCCAGGTGAGACCAAAGTCACCCTTTTGGGACAAATCCAGCCAGGGCTGCAATCTCCATTCCCTGTCACAGGAGCTGCTCTGCTCCCACGAGCCTTTCATCCTGCCGGGACTCGGAATCCTCTGGAGCAGCAAAGGCTCCAGATGGATGTTATTCTCGTAACAT